AGAACAGCCACATGGTACACAGCTAGGACATCTGAGGACATTTAGCCACTAAGAATAGGCATGGCCACCTCTTGGGCCTCAGAAAGCCAACAGCAGTGTCCCTGTTTCCCCCAGCTGGCATATCTCTCTTCCATGAAATGGACCCTCACTCTGCTTCTATCCCTAGAATAGCCCAAAGTGTAGAGAACGATGTGGTGGCAACAGTAACTGGGAAGTACAGGGTGACTGAGTTGATCCTGGATGCTGTAAGTCTCTAGTCTTCTGGGGTCCATATAGGAAGCATGTTTGAGAGGGGGTGGTCCCTTGGGGTTCTGTGATATCTAATCTTGGTTGTCAGTTTGACTGGATCTGGGATTAACTGAAATGAGAGACTTTCTTGATTGGATCATTTGAATCTGGAAGACCACCCTAAATGTAGGTGTTACCTTCTGATGGCAGCCCATATAAAAGGCCATGTCAGAAGGGAGCTTTTGCTTTTTGCCTGCCTGCCTTCTCTCACATTGGCAAGTTAATCTTGCTGCTGTGGCATTCCTCCACTGATAGTAGAACCAAGGTCTTCAGATTCCAACATAGATTTAAGACTAGCAGATCTCCAGGAATCCTCCAGGCCTTCAGCATCAGTTTGGGACCGCCGAGGCATCCAGCCTCATAGACTGAGCAACCACCAGATTCTCAGTCTCTCCAATGTGGCTCAGCCATTGTTGGACTACTTGGACTCTATCCTGTAAGCTAATCTAATAAATCCCCTGTGGTGGTCTGAATGAAAATGTTCCCCATAGGCTCCAACTATTTGGACATTTTGTCCCCAGATGGTGGTGCTGTTTTGGGAGGTCTTAGAAGGTATGGTGATCCTAGAAAAAGCACGACACCAGGGGTGGGCTTAGAGAGTTCTTAAGCCTTGCCAGATCTCCAGTTGCTCTTGTTCCTGTGCCAGCTTGAGGAGATGTAGAGCCTAGCTTCTGCTCCTCCTCCAGCCACCTCTGCTGTCTTGCCCTCCCCCAACCATGATGGATTCTTGCCCCTTTTGGAACCATAAACCCAAATAAATTCTTCCTTCTATCAATTGCTTTGGTCAGTGTTTCTATCACAGCAACAGAAAAGTAACTAATACAGTAAATGGTACCAGAGAGTGGGCTGTTGGCTGTGAAGAACCTGACCATGTGGGGTTTTGGAGGAATGTGGAAGACTTTGGAAGTTTGGGCTAGAAAATTGGTTGCTTGCTGTAAGCAGAGCTTAACAGGTCATTCTAGTAACCACCTGGAAGAAAGTAGTGCTGAGAACAATGTAGTTGTCCTCTTAAGGACTTAAGCATCACTTGGGATATTTTGGCAAAGAGTCTGGCTGGAGTCTACCCTAGACCCAAAAGCTTGCCTAAGGCTAAGTTGAAAAGCAATGGACTAACTTCTCTGATGGAAGAAATTTCAAGACAGCCTAATGTAGAAATGGTGGCATGGCTATTAATGGTAAATATTATGAAGATCTACAGCAAAAAAAAAGAGCAAATGGTGCAGAAAGAAATAAAGAAACACAGTTTTGATTGAAAAAGAGCACTAGGAAGATAAATGTTAGTACCTTGGCATGTGCTGGAGAGGATCCCTTTGATAAGGAGATTAAAGTGATGAAGGAGAGGCCTAGAGATTCAAACTTAAACAATGGAGAGAGTGCCTCCAGGGCAAGACCACACCCAGTTAAGCCTCCAACTTGTAAAAGGAAAATGCTGCTGGGACCACTGAAGAGAAAAGCTGCTAAAATGGATAAAGCAGGCTGGAGTCCATGCCAAACTTGCAGTCAAACTTGGCAGTGTCGTTCACCTGGTGCTGGCTCTAGAGGCATAAAAGATAGAAGAGTGAAGGGGTCATCAACTCTTCCTCCATGGTTTCAGAGAGCTGCTCAGGCCAGGCAGCATGCAGCAGGGGTGCTTCTGCATAGAGAAGGCCCTGATAGGCCATTGTGTGAAGCTGTGAAAGTGAAGTCTGGGTTGGTAATGGAGAACCCAAGAAGCCATTCGTGATGCCAGAGCTGTAAGGCATCTGCCAAGAAGACCTGCATACAGGGAGTAGTACCAGCACAAGAGAGACATGTGTGTTGCACACAGCAAAGCTAGAGAGGCTGAGCCATCTAAACCCTTTGGAAGTAAAGTTCCAGAAGTCAGACGTGGAGCTACTGGGTTTGGTGTTTGTTCTGCTGGTTTTTGGTCTTGCTTTGGTCTGATATTTCCTTACTATGCTTCTATTCGTCCCTTTTGGAATGGTAATGTATATTTGGTTCCACTGTATGTTGAGAGTATGCAATTTGTCTTTTGATTTTATAGAGGCTTACAGTTAAGCTATTTCCCTGAGTCTCAGAAGAGACTTTGGACTGGACTTTTGAGTAGTGTTGAGACTGGTAATGACTATGGGGACTTTTAAAGTTAGACTACATGCATTTTGCACTTTTTTTTTTTTTGTCTTTTTTCTGTAGCCGCAGCTGTCCTGGAACTCACTATGTAGACCAGGCTGGCCTCGAACTCACAAAAATCCACCTGCCTCTGCCTCCCAAGTGCTGGGATTAAAGGCATGCGCCACCACATCCGGCTGCATTTTGCATTGTATATGGTCATGAGCCTAATGGGGGCCAGGGGGTGGAATGTGGTGGTTTGAGTGAAAATGTCCCCCATAGGCTCCAAGTATTTGGACATTTTGTCCCTAGATGGTGGAGCTGTTTTGGGAGATCTTAGAAGGCATGGCTATCCTAGAAGAAGCACGTCACTGGAGGTAGGCTTAGAGAGTTTTTAAGCCTTGCTGAATCTCCAGTTGCTCTTGTTTCTGTGCCAGCTTGAGATGTAGAGCCTAGCCTCTGCTCCTCCTCTAGCCACCTCTGCCGCCATGCTTCCCTGCCATGATGGACTATAATTTCCCTGGAACCATAAGCTCAAATAAACTCTTCCTTCTATAAATTGCTTTGGTCAGTGTTTCTATCACAGCGGCAGAAAAGTGACTAATACATCCCCATATATATTTTATCAGTTCTGTTTCCTTAGAGAACCCTGACTAATATAGTACCCATCCTTCATTGTACTTACAGGCTGTTTCAGAGCCTCTGGCTTTTGACTCTGCTTCCTGAGTCAAAGCTTTAAAGTAAGGGGCTAGAGAGATGGTTCAGTGGTTAAGAGCACTGGCTGCTCTTCCAGAGGACCTGAGTTTGGTTCACATTACATATAGTAGCTAACAACCACCCATAACTACAGTTACAAGGGGATCCAATGCCCTCTTCTAACTTCTGAGGGCACTGCATGTGCATGGTACACTTAAGATACATGCAGGTGAAACACTCATACACATAAAATAAAATAATTAAAAAATTTTTAAAGTAACTCATGAATCTCAAAGATATTTCTTCAGTCACCAAGATGACTCTGCAGGTAAAGGTGCTTGCTGTCAAGCCTGACAACCTGAACTCAATCTCCAGGACCTACATGGTAAAAGAGAAAAACAATTCCCCTAAGCTGTTCTCTGAACTCCACATCCTTCTCACCACAAAATAAATAAATAAATGTAAGGGAAAAAAAATCCCATGGTAAAAGTTTTTTTAAACATTTTATTTTTATTATTTTTAATTTATTTTATATGTATGAGTGTATTGCCTACAAGCATATAAGTGCACCCATGTCATGCAGTGCCCTCGGAGATCAGAAGAGGGCATCAGCTCCCCTGGAACTGGAGTTACAGACAGTTGTTAGCCACCATGTGGGTGCTGGGAATCAAACTCAGGTTCTCTGCAAGAGTAGCCAGTGCTCTTAACCACTGAGCCATCTCTCCAGACCCGTAAAGGTTTTTTGTTGTTGTTGTTTTTAATAAAAAGTTCATGTATTAGTCAAAGAACAGATCAAGAGACCCTCAAGATAGCTCAGTAGGTAAAGGCACTTGCTGCAGAGTCCCTGAACACTGTGGTTGCATCCCTTGAACTCATGTGATAAAAAGAGAAAACAGACTTCTACAAGTTGACCTCTGACCTCCACATTCATACCATGGTCCCACATACATACACAGGCATATGAAATAAAGAAATGTACTAAGAATAAGAATTAAAGAACAGACCCAGCACTATGAACCTGGTGTCACTGCCTACCCATGGCCTGCACTGTCCTGGAGGTTCAGCCATTTACTACCACACTGGACACAAGGCATTCCCTCCCCACACTGTCCAAACTGCTCAAAAGTCCTTGCTTTTAATCAAATGGCAAAAATGATGACAAAAAAATCCTTATTGAAGGAAATAGCAGAATTAAAGGGGATCAGAGATAACACTGGTGACATTAGAACAGCATTAAATTAGAGGTACAATGAGAGGGTAAAATGGGACCAAGAAAGCTAACAGCCAAGGAGACAAGGACACAGAGACCAGTGAGGGCCTGCTCTCTCAAGGGACATTAGGATGCTAGCTGGAGAGGACACTCAGTTCTGCAAGGTCCTGGTGTGTGTAGCAGCCTCACAAGGAGGGAAGGAGTGCTCCTAACCTCAAAAGAACCCAGCCTCGGGTAGGGGGTGGGGTTGCTGTTTAAGAAACAACTGTCAGATGCTACCTGAGAGTGAGGGACTTGAGAGGCTGAGTTGCAGGAAGAATCCCAGAGAGGCTGTTCTGAGCATGCCTGCCTTGTGGCCCCTGCTCAGAAATGGGGAGAAGACTCAGGTAGGGCTGAATGTAAAGCTGAAGGAGGTTGGTGACACCCTAGGCTGGCAGATGGAGCCCTAGAGAGAGGAAGCTGGAGGCCCACACTGGCCCAAGAAGTTCAGGACTGTGCTACAAAGTCCAGGCTGTCTCCCAAACAGTGGAAGCATGTATCCAAGCTGGCCCCTGGCAGGTGGCAGGGCCACACAGTGGCTATCTTCCCAGGCCCAGTGTCTGCTCAAGTGTCTTGGCCCAACAGCTCAAGTGTCTCTTGTACCTGAGAAAGTCGAACTCCAGAGCCCTCCACTCTGCAAAGACTCTGGTGGCAGGAGCCCCAGGCTGGCCCCACTCACCCACTATCTCGTTCTCCTCAAGGTTGATAGTCTCCAGCTTGGGCAGGTTGGTAAGCTGCTCCGGGAAGTCTTGGAACTGGTTCCGGGACAAGTCGATGGCCTGGAGGTGCTGCAGGCTGCTGACCTCATTGGGGAGGCGATAGAGGTAGTTCCCTTCTAGACGGAGTTCTGCCACAAAGAAGGAAGAAGGGAAATGAGGGTGGGAAGGGGGCCTGCCGCCAGTGTCTGGGCCAGGAAAACAATGAGAAAGTCCCCCGCCCTCACCTCACAGAAAGTCTCTCAAGCTGATGGTTCTGTTTGCCCTACAGGAGAGTTAATACTCCCATCACTGCCCACTGAAGCACTCACGCTATAGCCACTGCCTTGGAGATAAGGGAGGCTCTCCTGACAGAAAATGGGGCTTAGACAATGGTCCAAGTATCTTGGCTCTCCCCACAGGCCTTGCTGGGATGGGTCAGGATATGCCCACCTAAGGGTCATGACCTCTCTTTAAAGTCCTCCTTGCTCTAGGGGCAGCCTGGTTCTTTCCGTCATGCGTTTTCACTCAGCTCAGCTATTTTACTAACCAGATGTGAGTGGATTCCAGCCCTGCAGTGGTAGCTACAAAGCTGACCAGTGGCCTGTGGGAGGCCCCTTGTGAAGAATCCCTCTTTTGGAAAACCCTAGCCCAGGCAGTGCTGAGAGATGGGCCAGGGCAGAAACTGGAAGGTGCTAAAGAAGAGACTCCGTGGGGACGCCCCCTGAGGGAAGAGGTATAAAGGACACAATCAAGATCAACAGGGTGGGGGCGTGCAAGGTGACGGAAGATCGACAGTGGGCTATGACAGGGGCATCAGAACCCCTCCCTGCCCAGGCACAAACTCCAACCCGACCCCTCTAGCTCATCACTCAGTCATTGTACCCTGTATGTTCCTCATGGGAAACAGGAGCTGGTCATACACCCTGCCTTACAGGGATGTGGTAGCTTATGTCAGTTAACATAGGGAAAGAATAAAAAGAGAAAGAGAGCAGGGCCTCTCTTCCAGTGGGAAAAGGCCACTCGGGGCGCAAGACCACCTGTGTGTGACCTTATAGCAGCTTGTTATTATATGAGCACCCCACCCTGTCTGATTCAAAGGAAACGGAGACTCGGAAATGCCACATCATGTCCCTCAACTCTTTTCCCTGGTATCAGCTTTGTGGCTGTGTAAGCAATGCAGTAGTCACACAGGATCCCATGTGTGGGATGCTCCGTATGCTGTTTTTTGTTGTGAAACATGGTCTTGGCATATTGCCCAGATTGGCCCCAAACTTACCATCTTCCTGCCTCAGCCTTCTGGAGGCCACTGCATCTGGTTCCCACGTGCCATCATGAAAGCTTTCATCCTTGAGTCTGTTTTCTAAGTGGCTTTGAGTCTGAACTCACATGTGGGTCTTCCTCTAGTGGTGGGCTGTCTGTAGTATCCCTTCCCTTTCTCTGGGCCCCCAGGACTTGCCTGGCCTCTGTCAAGCCCTGCCCTGTGACATGTAGCACTCTACCTCCAGCAGGGAACATCTGAGTCAGGCTTGTGTACCCTGCACTGTCAGAGTAGAGCATGGTGAAGTAGCTCCCCACTCCACCCTATCCCATCCTTGCCCAGGGCTCCTGAGCTGCAGCAGCATAGTGTGCCTGGTGTGGGTGGCCTGCTCCAGGTACCCAGGAGGTTCTGATGGCCAGGGTCAAAAACCTGGGAGTTGGGGCTGGAGAGATGGCACAGCAGTTAGGAGCACTGGCTGCACTTGTAGAGGACTTGGGTTTGGCTCCCAGCACCCACAGGGTGGCTCACAAATACCTATAACTATAGTTCCAGGGGACTCTGACACCTTTTCTGGTCTCCCCCAGCATCAGGCACACACTTGGTGCACTTTGCCTGCATAAATGCAGGCAAAACATTCATACAATAAAATATAATATAAATAAAAATATTTTCAAAAAACAACCTGGGAGTTGCAGGGCATGATGGTACCTGCTTTTAATTCCAGCACTTGGGAAGTAGAGGCAGGCAGATCTCTATGAGTTCAAGGGTAGCCTGGTATACATAGCCAGTTCCCGGCCAGATGGGGCTGCATAGTAAGACTTTGTCTCAAAAAAACAAAACAAAAAAATTAAACCGACTTTTTAAAGCCAGGCATTGTGACACACACCTTAAATCTTTTTTTGTTGTTGTTGTTTTATTTTATTATTATTTTTTTAATGTGTATGAGTGTATTGCCTGCATGTAGGTAAGTGCACCCGTGTTGTGCAATGCCTGAGGAGGACAGAAGAGGCTGTCAGATCCCCTGGGACTGGAGTTACGGACAGTTGTTAGCTGCCATGTGGGTGCTGGGATTTGAACCCCAGTCTTCTGCAAGAATAGTGTTCTTAACCACTGAGCCATCTCTCCAGCCCCAACACACCTTAAATCTTAAACATTCAAGAGGCAGAGGCAGGTGGATCTTTGTGAGATCAAGGCCAGTGTGGTCTACATATTGAGTTCCAGGCCAGCTGTAGCTACAGGGAGACACTGTTTCAATACCTTCCCCTCAAAAATCCAACCTGGGAATTGCAGAGCATGGTAGCCCATGCCTTTAATCCCAGCACTTGGGAGGCAGAGGTAGGCAGATCTCTGTGAGTTTGAGGCCTGGTCTACATAGTGAGCTCCAGGCTAGTCAGTGAGCTCCTCCATTTTGTATAAGACATCTTGGTGAGCCATCCCAGACCCTACCCCGGTCAGAAGTTTCAAGAAGAGCTGAGGACCACACGTATGTAATTCTCGTGTTAGAGTAGCAAAATAACCCCATAAATTAACTGGTCAAGACTATAAAATCTCTAGTGTATTGAAAGACCCACCTTTCCAGTTTCACTGGTCAATCATCTGGTCATAGGACCACCCCTAGGAAGGCAGGTTCACCTTAAATTATGCTAAATAGATGGGTAGAATGCCTAGTGCATTAATGAGATAGAGAATTTTTCCTGCCTGGAATCCTGCCTCCTAGCGCGGAACTCCTCACTCAACCCAGCCACAGACATGTCTCTGTAAGAGACCCTGTAATCTCTCCTTTTCTTCTCCATATCCCTTTTCTAAACACACTTTCTTTAAGGCTTTGGGCTGCCCCTAGCATCTTGTATTTCTTTACTTTTTCTAAAGCTTCCTTCTCCTAGCCATGTCTAGGAGCCATGGCTTCCAGTCAGCACATGTCTGACCTCCATGCAGGCTCTAAACCTGCATGGTTTCATGGCTGTCTTTCCTTCTCCCCACGATTCTCCTCCTCAAGGCAGCTGCCAAGCTTACCTGCCCTGAGGATTTTTTTTTTAATTCTAATAAAATTGCAAAAGTTCCCATCCCCTCCCAGTTAGGGCCGCATTCTCAAAATTGGTTCAGAGAATGCTGTCCTGCCAGTTAAATAGATTCGGCTTATTCAGAACTTTTTGAGTCTGAGTGGTCTTTTCCCAGTGATCATGAACTCCATAACACAATAACAACAAAAATCTGGGAGTTGGAGTTGCCTATGTGCTCTAAGTGAGGGACCTCTTGGTTAAGGAACACCTGGCCAGTGCAAAGCTTGGCAGTCTAGTATGTTAAGAGCAGAGCCTAGCTGCCATAAGCCACCATCAGGCCTGAACATGCATGTTCTGGCACTGGTATCTGGGTGGCCCTGGACATCTGGGAATGGCCTGTATTTCTTCTTCCTTCCAACCTGCCCAAACCTGGCTGGAGTCTGTCTTTTACCTCCCTCATAGCACCTCTGGAAGCCAGCAATAATGTACAAGTTGTCTAATTCCAGGGTTTCACAATGCAAGTTAAGCACTCCAGTAATTGCACTTAAAACTGGCATTATATGACATAAAGATAAATAGTGTAATTCATTTATTTCTCCTACATGCAAGCATAACACTCATACACATAAAATAAAAATAAAATATTTTTTAAAAAGAGTGCTTGCTATGCAATCTCATGAGGACTCTAGTTTGGATCCTAGTACCCATGTAACAAATTGAATGTCTCTGAAAGTTCTTGTAATCCCAGCTCCAAAGGGAGCACAGACAGGAGGACTAGACCACTAGGGCTTGCTGAGAAAGCAAGAGCTCCAGGTTCAGAGGTAGACCCTGCTTCAAAGGGATTGTAGAGAGAGCAATAGAGGAGAATACTCAGTGTCCTCTTCTGGCCTCTCAGCACCCATACACATATGTGCATACACTCATACACAGAGACAGACACACTAAATAAATAAATGAATAAATAAATAAATCTTGTTTTATGTTTTGTTTTTGAGACAGGGTCTTACTATGTAGTCCTAGCTGGCCTCGAACTCACTATGTAGACCAGACTGGCCTCAAACTCACAGAGATGTACCTGCTTCTTCAAGTGCTAGAATTGAAGGTGTATGCTACTAGGGCTGGAGAGATGGCTCAGTGATTAAGAGCACTGACTGCTCTTGCAGAGGACCTGGGTTGGATCCCCAGCACCCACATGGTATCTACAAACCGTCCTTAACCCCAGTTCCAGGGGAATCTGAAGCTTTCTTCTGACGTCCGCGGCATTGCATGACACAGGTGCACTCACATACATGTAGGCAATACACTCATACACATAAAAAAATAATAAATATTTTTTAAAATTTATTATTAGTGTGTGTGTGTGTGTATGCCATGACATATGTATGGAAGTCAGAGGCCAACTTCAAGGATCTGGTTCTCTCTTTCCATAGTGGGTTCATTCTGGGGACTGAACTCAGGGCATCAATCTTACACACCATGCGCTTGTACTTGCTGAACCATTGCACTGTCTCCAATTTTTGTTTTTTCTTTTGAGACAGGATTTTATGTAGCCTAGACTGACATCAAACTGGCTAGAAAGTTGAGGGTAACCTTGAGCTCAGATCCTCCTGCCCTTCTCTCCCTAGTGTTGTGCTTAAAACTGGCATTATATGAAATAAAGAAAAATGGTCTAATTCATCATAAGTTTTTATTTTTCCTTATTTTGACATTAAATGGCAAATGAAAAATAGGAAGGCAGAGGCCAGAAGAGGTGTCAGATCTCCTGGAGTTGGAGTCACAGGCAGTTGTAAGCCACCTAACATGGGTGCTAGGAATTGACCTTGGGTCCTCTGGAAGAGCGGAAAGTGCTCATAACCATTTCTAAGTCATTTCTCCTGTACCCTCCTTTCTT